TGTGTGTGTGTGTGTGTGTGTGTGTGTGTGTGTGTGTGTGTGTGTGTAGAGGAGCTGCCATTCATTCATCCTCTTTTGTTTCATATCGTGATTGGTAAACACTGTCATAGACATGAATGTCACTTTGCAAAGCTATGAGAGACTTTCTTTGTCATTTTCTAGGTTTGGAAATACTGGTCGATAAGATCCATATGTACTTAATTTGTTACATTGTCTAAAACATGTGAGATTGCTCTCTGCAATGGCTTTAAGTCTTCTCTGTCCCCAGTGACTGGCACTGCAGCCATCTTGTCTCCACCAACACTGGATGCTTCCTGGCCTTCTGACTCTTCCCAGTATAGCTGGTAAATTGGCAGGACATTATTGTTTCAGTTTGAATTTCTCCAGTTATTCAAGAGCATTTGATCAGGCTTTACACGTTAATTAGCTCATGAATAAGTCCAAGTGCACATTCTTTCTCTGGTTTTTGTTTTAGAAGCAGGGTCTTACAGTGGAGGCAAGGCTGGTCTCAAAATTGCAATCCTCCTGCTGCAGCCTCCTAAGTGCTAACATTTCAGATCTGGCTTTTTGCTTTATTCTGTAAAACTGGTCTTTGCCTATTTTTTTTTCCTGTCAGTCTTCCTTCCTTCCTTTCTTCCTCTCTCCCTCCCTTCCTCCCTTCCTCCCTCCCTCCCCCCCTTCCTCCCTCCTTCCCTCCTTCTGTCCTTCCTTCCTTTTTAGATTTGTTTTTTTATTATGTATAAATGTTCTGCCTGCATGTACACCTGCATACCAGAAGAAGGCACCAGATCTCACTATAGGTGGTTGTGAGCTACCGTGTGGTTGCTGGGAAATGAACTCAGGACCTCTGGAAGAATAGCCAGTGCTCTTATCCTCTAAGCCATCTCTCCAGTCCTTCTGTCAGTTTTTCTGAATATTAAAAAAAGATGCAGGTTGGGTAAGGTAGTACTTGGCTTTAATCCCAGCACTCTGGAGACAGAGGCAGGCAGATCTCTGTGAGTTCAAGATCAGCCTGGTCTATATAGAGATTTCCAGGACAGTCAGGACTTGATAGTGAGATCCTGTCTTAGAAAAACCCAAAAAAGCAAAAAACAAAACAAAACCCAGAAACAAAACCTAAGGTGTGTGTTTGCAGGGCAGGGGTTGGTGATAAGGAAGGAAGGAGGAAAAGATACATATTCTTGTCTTCTGTCTGAGATACTAAAATATCTCCTCATGTTCTTCCAACTGTCTGCTAACTCATCCACAGTGTTCTTCATTTACCAGAGATCTGGCATCAGCTGGAATAATCATAGGAATAAAACATTTTCAAGAAAACTAACATAGTCTTAATGTTTAACTCATAATTTAGGAGAATGGGTTGTCTCTCTGTTAAGGCATATAATTTTTATTAGGCCATTTGTATAGGCAGCTTGTGTTGGATTTTTTTTTTCTTTAGTCTAAGAATGTCTGCTTCCCCTCCTTTCCTTTTCCCTCCTCTCTCTGTCTCTGTCTGTCTCTCTGTCTCTTGGTTTTTTGAGACAGGATTTCTCTGTGTAGTCTTGGCTGTCCTTAACTCTCTTTGTAGACCAGGCTGGCCTCGAACTCACAGAGATCCATCCACCTGCCTCTGCCTCCCGGGGTGCTGGGATTACAGGCATGTGAGCCACCGCTCCTGGCTCCTCTTTTCCTCTTTTGTTTCCTTTCCTTCCTTTCCCCCACATCACCCACACTATCTCTCTGAGTTGTTAGGCTCTGACTGTGCTACAGACTGGCTAATTGTTATTGTTTAGATGACTGGAGGAGTTTGAATGGAAGTTTGAACTAGCAGATGCCAAGGAACTAATTCGATATGGCAGTGCCAATGGTGGTGTGTAAAGAAATGTTCAAACTCTTTAGCAGTGCGCTGTGTACTATGTTGGGGTGAATGATATGCCCAATGGTATGTGTAATACATTTCATCCAGCACAAAGAGAAGTAAAGACACATATCAAACCTCCTGTTGTTTGACTCTGTATGGCAGATGTATGGATTCATTTTGCTACTACCCCTGCCTTTACGAATTTTTGACAATTTTCATAAGAGAGTGTTACAAATCCTTGATAACAGTGGCTGGTGAAATGTCTCAGAGGTCAAGAGAAATTCCTGTGCAAGTGTGAGCACCAGAGAAAAATGTGGGCATGGCGATGAGTCCCTGTAAGTAGCACTGGGAACTCAGACAGGTGGATCCTGAGAGGGAGAAACCCTGTATCAAGACAACAGGACAGAAAACAATGAAAAAAGTCACACAAAAAGACACCTGGCAGCCTGCTCTGAGCTTCACATGTACACTCCTGGGTGTATGCACCCAAATATTCATGCATAACCACACATACATACACAATTCACACCCGTAACTGCTTGAAAATGACCTGTTAAATATATGTAATTTACTCTTAAAAAGGAAAAATGACTTTACTTACACACTGTCCATCATGCATTTTAATTATGGTTCTGCCTTCATATCTGGAAAAATTATATCAAGAAATTATTATTATTATTATTATTATTATCATTATTATCATTATTACTACTACTTGGTTTTTTGAGGCAAGGTTTCCTTGTGTAACTGTCTATGCTGTTCTGAAATTCCTTTTGTGGCCCAGGCCAGCCTGGAACTAGATCCACCTGCTGCTGCCTCCTGGATGCTGGGATCAGAGGCATGCGCCACCACTGCCTGGCTTGAAGTAATTATTTTTGTTCTGTGGTATGCCATAAACCATGGCCAACTCTTTCTTGGTAATCTTAGGCAAAGTTAAGAAAGAAATATTTTGTTAGTAACAGTGAATTAATATATACTAGATGTATTTATTTTATTTTATATGTGTGTGTGTGTTTTGCCTGCATGTATGTATGTGTGCCGATGGAGGTCAGAAAAGGATGAGTTTGAGCAGCTTCAGGGAATCCAACAACCTTCTGGCTCCTGTATTTACATGTGCTAACACACGCACACACACTTAAAAATAGAACAATCCTTTTTTGTTTGTTTGTTTGTTTGTTTGTTTGTTTTCAAGACAAGGTTTCTTTGTGTAACTTTGGTTGGCCGGAACTCGATTTGTAGACCAGGCTGGCCTCAAACTCACAGAGATCTGCCTGCTTCTGCCTCCCTTGAGTGCTGGATTTAAAGGTGTGTGCCACCGTGCCCATTAAGGAATTATGTAACATAGATGACATTGAAAATTTCACAGAAACACAATTATCTAAACTGACTTATGAAAAAATTTAAAAAAGTTAATAGACCTCCAAAAGGTAAAGACATTAATTCAGTAATTTAAAACCTCCCAACTGGTCTTCTTTAGGCAACCGTATTACTGAGAAACAAGACCTGCATAATGACCACAACAGTCAACATGCCATCATGGGTGGGGCAAATCTCACAAGGTCCCACCCCAAGATGATAAGCCAGTGGCTTCTGAGAGGATGATGATCAATTGTCCTCAGGAAGAAGCACCTCATAGGTGCTTCATTTCATCCCAAGTGGTCAACCCTAAACACAAGTATATATAAACAAACATAAATGTACTCAGTAGGATGTGTGTGTGTGTGTGTGTGTGTGTGTGTGTGCATGCAACAATAGTAATTAAAGAAGTCCAAGAGGGAATGTTAGGGGACACGCAGGAGTTGGAGAGGGAAGCTGGAAGGTTGGGAATTATGCAAATATGGTACTTACATATGAAATTCTCAAAAATAAAATGTTAAGTTAAAAAAAAAAAAACCCTAGGGGCTGGAGAGATGGCTCAGTGATAAAGAGCACTGGCTGCTCTTTCAGAGGTCCTGAGTTCAATTCCCAGCAACCACATGGTGGCTCACAACTATCTGTAATGAGATCTGATTCCCTCTTCTGCTGTACATGAAAACAGAGCATTCATATTCATAAAATAATATATAAATCTAAAAAAACAAAACAAAACAAAAAAAACTTCAGCAGTCTCCCAACATGGTTGGTGAGATGGATCAGGAGGTAAATCCACCTGCTGCCAACGTGAGCTGAGTTTGCTCCCCAGAACCCACTAGTAGGAAGGAGAGGGTCAGCTCCTGCAAGCTGTCCTCTGACCTGCATGTGTGCGCTGTGGCATCGTGTACAAGTCCCTCCTCTCTAAATAAATTAAATGTGATCTTTTTTTATTGAAAGGATTCTAGACAGAAACTTGAATTCCTACAAAGAAAGTCAAGTGTGGCAACATATATTTGTAATCATAGCCCTCAGGAGGCAGACTCACCAGGTTACGAGGCAGAGGCCAGACTGGGCTATATAGCAAGTCTCAGGTCAGCTTATTCTGTTGTTTTTCAAGACGGTGTAGCCCTGGCTATCCTTGAACTCGCTTCGTAGAACAGCCTGCCCTGGAACTCAGAGAGTCACCTGCCTCTGCCTCCCCAGTGCTGGGACTAAAGATATGTTCGACCATCAATGGGCAGCTTACTTTTTTTTTTTTTTTTTTTTTATTTTTTATGAGACACTGTCTCAGCTAACATAGACAGACTTGAATCCACATGAAGAAACAGAGAGCCAGTAGAGGGCAGCTCTTCTGAAACTAGAAAAGACAATGAAATGCCTTTTTTGTTTGCACATTCTTTTTTCCTGACTTAAAAGTCAACAGCAATATTTGTGCTTGTGTTACCTGGTATACAACGGGTAACAGTATAGTTTGTGTGGCAACAACAGCACAAAGAGAGGAGGAAATATATAACATCTTCATTTGTAATTACTGTGAATCCAGGTTAGGTTACTGTAAAATTTATTTGTGACCCCATGGCAGCTTCTAAGAGAATATTTCGTTTAATTAATTTATTTTGCTTTTTCAAGATAGGGTTTCTCTGTGTAGCCTTGACTGTCATGGCACTCACTGTGTAGACCAGGCTGGCCAGCTCTCAGAGATCTGCCTGCTTCTGTCTCCTGAGTGCTAGGATCACACATACGAATCATATGGCTTCCCATGTACCCAGAAAGAGTTCCAACACGGAGCTATAGCCACAGCTCAAGAAAACAATTTCATTTGTTTATTAGAATTTGTGTATATATATGTATGTGATGTGTGCGCGTGCTGTCTACACGTGTGTGTGTGTGCAGGTACCTGCTTCAGTGTGTACCAGAGGAGGGGATATCTGGCTGTGTCTTGTTTTTACCTTATTCCTTGGAGACAAGGTCTCTCACTGATCCTAGAGCTAGGCTGGTACTGACAAGCCCCAGCTGTCCTTCTGTCTCTGCCCCCCCCACAACGCTGGTGCTACAGGCATGAATGCAGCCATGCCTGGCTGGCTTCCTCCTGTGGCTGTTGGGAATTTTAACTGTGGTCTTCATGCTGGTGCCACAAACATTCTTCCCCATGGAACCATCGCCCCAATTCCTGATTTTTTAAATATAGCAAAAGTGAGTTTGTATATAACATAACAATGCCTCTTGGTCTGCGATGCTGTGGTTTTCCGCTGCACTTTAGGCAGTTATCTGTGCCAGTTATTGAGACTGACATAAAATTTCACCTCACAACTCTTTTATGGGCTCTAGGATAAGTTTTATAGAGCCAGGAACACCAAAGAAAGTTCATTCTTACTCAGCCAAATGTCTGTCATATTGAACAAGAAGATTATTCTTTGTTTAAAGAAGATGAGAACAAGGTGAGTGGATGCCTGACCTGGCCTCCTGTCCTTCCTCTTTTCTCTTAAGATACTGGTTTAACCTGGGCATGGTACATAAGGTGTGAACTTCCTGCCTCAAGAAAACAGCTGCGATCAGGGACTGCCCCAACCTTTGTTGGTTGGTTTCTTAGTACAAAAGTCTTACTGCAGAGTTGGGCATTTCACACAGGTTTTGCCAGAAGCTAAATGTCCCCAAACAAAACCACTGATGGGATGAACACTAAAAAAAAAAAAAAAAAAAAAATTATGTAGAGGAATAATATCCATTCAGAGATCAACAAACCATTAGTTGGGAAAAAACCCTCTCCCCATTCTCCTCCTTCTCTTATTCCTCTTCATTTTTCCTTTTATGCCCATCTCCCTTTCTCCTCATACTTAAAAAGTGTTTTAATTAGATATTTCATGTGTGTGCCTGACCATGTGTGTGTGTACATAAGCAAGTATGTGCCGTGGAGTGTGTGGAGTGTATAGTGTGACCGCCACACGGAGGTCAGAGGACAACTTTTGTAATTTAGGGCTGTAATTCCTCCACGTGAGTCCCTAGGGTCAAACACTAAGTCATCAGGCTTGGTGTCAAGTGCCTTCACCTGCCAAGCCATCTCACCAACCTGTCTCCTCTTCGTTAGGCTGTTCTTTGGCCTGGTGAAGCCACTGGGCTGTGGGCACATGGTCTGAATGCTGTACCTACTTGCTATGGAGCTCCCTCCACTTGGTCGCTGTCCACACCAGACAGTGAGCTCTGACCTCGTGCATTTCTGTTTCTGCATTGTTGGAGAAGCAGGTATGGAGGGGTGCTGAAGGAAGCCCTGATGGAAGTTGGCTGAGACAAGTGATAATAAAATGAGGACTCACAGAATTCCGAAGCAGAGGTGGCACTCGCCATTGTAGGTGTTCTCGTCCGTGGCACATATAAACTCACTGATCTTGTAGTAGGAGAGCATCCAGCAGATCTTCACATTCTCCTTGCACAAGGCCTGAAGTGAGACACAGAACACTGCTCCCATCACCCCCCTCCGGTCCTCCGGTCACCAGCAGCAGGAGCGGGGGATGGAGTAAGGAGTCCAGGAGTTCAGAAAACAGGCTACAGATCCTCCTCATCTATTCTGGTCCTTACTACTGACACCTATAGTACCGTAACGGATGTTCTTTGCGTTTTCTAGCTTTCCACCAGCTCCTTGTTAGAAAGAAAGTTTCTGTTCTATAAACCACAAAGTGTATTGTTATGCATAGAGAGGAAAAGCCCATAAATGTCTTTCCAGACAGGCATTTCTGGAGCTGAAGGTGGCTTGGCACCTGCTGCTCTTCCAGAGGAATGGAGTTTGGTTCCCAGCTCCCATATCAGGTGGCTCACATGCCTGTAACTCCAGCTCCAGGAGGTCTTCTGATGTACCCATGTGGCGTGCACTCATGTGGACCCACAGAAAATAAAATAAAATTTTAAAAAGAAAATGGAGACTTTTTCTTTTTTATTATTATTATTATTATTTTATTATTATTATTATTATTATTATTATTATTATTATTATTATTATT